GCCTGATGTGCCCGTCTGCAGAGGCCACGGTGTGGGCCCACCGGCTGTCACAGGGGGCATCTGAGGGGGTCTGTGGTGATGGGTAGTCCACAAACACCTCTGCTGAATCCGTGGAGCCACTTAAGTTCAGACTCGTGGCCTAATCAGTCAGGGGAGACAGGATCAGGGCTGGGGATCTGGGAATCATTGCTTCCCCCACTTTGTCTCCAGCACGAGTCCGAGCTGCAGATGGGTTTCTGGAGGTCAGTCACAGTGAGAACTGGCCTCGCGCAGCCTCTGGCTGGGAACCTCCAGGAAGAGAAAGTGCTGCCACATGGGAGCTGAACTCTGCATTCCCGGCCCGGGGGCGTGAGGCAGAGACTCTCGCCTCCTCGGTGATCACCTGTAGCCAAGAGTCCCTACAGTCACTGCTCAGGGCTCCCTGCTGTACAACGGTTGCATTAAATTCTACTTTTTTAAGTTTATTTATTCTGAGAGAGAGAGAGAAACAGATAGAGAGGAAGAGAGGATCCCAAGCAGGCTTGGCGCTGACAAAGACAACCCCACGCAGGGCTTGACCTCATGAATCATGAGATCATGACCTGAGCTGAAGTCAGACGTTTAAACGACAGAGCCCCCCAGGCGCCCCTAAATTCTAAAGTAATAAAGGTCGTGCCTGCTACCCTGGGCGGCCTGGTATCTGGGAGTTGGGTTGAGTTTGGAGTGAAACTCTGACTGGCTGGAGGGTCGCCGTGCAGATCATGGTGTTTTCACCAAAGTTCACCGAAGTCGGCTTCCTACCGCCACTGTTCTACTTGCAAAGGTTCACATGATCTTTCCAGCCAGTAAGTTATGAGCGGAAACGTCAGCTGCCACTTCTGGGCCGGGCATGGAAAGGCCTGTATGAGGCCCTCCTAGGCTCTCTCCTGCCCTTTGGCATGGCCGTCGGGACATCCGAGCATCTCTTTGAAGGCTGGGCCTGCGGCGTCTGGTCAGGGACACGTGGCGTGTGTGAGAAGTGGCCTCGCATAGTTGGAGTACATGAGCTTTGAGGACTGCTTGTTACTGCAGCAGAACCCGCCTGGCCTGACGGGAGCACAAGACGGAAGCGCAGCATGCCACCTGCACGGCTCAGCCGCGAGAAGAAAAAAAAGTCTTTCTTTCCGTGAGATGGGAGACCCCCGCTTTGAGTTCTGCCGATTTCAGCTTGGGGTCCAGTCTGGGACTTAAGCCGTGGCCCAGCTCAGAGGAAATTCTGTTCAGATCTGAGTGTTCGTTCAAGGCCGCACTCTCGGAAGAGCGTGACTTCTTTGACAATAAAGAGCCTGACATTTCCCTGAACTGGCGTCACTTTACATTCCACTGCCCCATCTTCCTGTTGCATGTGCCGACGGTGTCCCCCAAGGTCTGGAGCGTGTGACTCGCCCAGGACCCCTCGATGCCGTCCCGCATGACATCTCCAATACCTGGAGGGCTTGTCCTGCACCAGCAAAGGGCACTCCGGACCTCAGACATGCCCAGGGCGCCTGGAGGGCTGTCTGTCTGTCCAGGGATGCCCCTGGAGGCCGGGGCTTGGTGGCGGCAGGAGCAGTGCGCGTGCGGCATGCACGCCTGTGTTCTCAAACACGGCTGCCCCAGAGTGGCTTTGCTTCTACCACGGGCACTGACCCCCCCGCCACGTTTTTGTGGCATCTCTCACGGGGGGCATTCGGTGTGACTGCAGATCAAACACTAGTTTGCTGGACTATTGGACGCACCCCCTCTCTGCAGATCTTCAGTGTGCTTGTATCTCCAGTGAAATATTTAGTTGAATCTCGAGGCATAGTTTGGATGTACTGTTTCCTGCTCAATTTCAGAATGCACTGCAATATATTTACACGAACAAAATAATGTTTCTCATGCAAAACCACTTTAACATCACTTTCAATAAACATATAATGAAAAGTACTTGATTTTTTTCTTGAGCGACAGGAGCTAATAAATCTGATTCTGGAGCCATATTGTCTGGGCTCAAATCCCAGAAATTCTTTGCCATCAGTGTGACCTTGGGCAAAGCATTTGCCCTCTTGGTGACTCAGTTTCCAAGTATGTATAATTAGATGATACTAGCTCACGTGGTAATGTGGTTGCTGTCAGTCTTCATCTGTGAACACCCATAAAGGAACCAGAAGAGCGCCCGGCAAAATCTTACCACTGCGTAAATGTTGGCTTTTTGTATTATTATTCTGAAAGCTATCCTTGTAAAACTGGGAAACGTCTTACAACATGGCATTTTATAAACAGAAAAATACAGTATTTCCTAGGAAGGGACATGGGATTGGCTGTTTGTCAAAAAGAGACCATGTTTGTGAAACCTGCTGGATCCTAAGACTCTCCTGGAGTGATGGCTAAACACCGGATTCTCACACTCCCCTCACAACACCTGATTTATATGTAAACACCCTGTCGACACTGGCTGCAAGGCCCAGGGGCGGCTCCTTCCTGGTGTTGGTCCTCTGACTTTCTTGAGACAAATGTCCCGAGAAAGAAAAGGTAGTTTTGATGAGGATGTGGAGAAATGGGTGTTTTCACTCTCACTAGATTCTCCCAGGAAGCACAAGGTGTTCCAGCAGTCGGCTGGCCTGCCTGAGGTCAAGAAGCGCACGTCGGAGAAGAGAGTACTGGACTAAGCCAGAAAGCCCTGACGTCCCCTGGCACACAGGTACACAGAATGCACGCAAATGCACACACAGAGATCATCTACACATGGACACACACAGATGCACACGGGCACACACACGGACACACACAAATGCATATGGACACAGACACAGATGCACATGCACACGGATACACACGTGCACACACAAATGGACACACAAATGCACACGCATATGGACACACACAAATGTACATGCGCACACACACACATGTGCACACACACACAAATGGACATGCACACACATGCACACGGACACACACAAATGCATATGGACACAGACACAGATGCACATGCACACGGATACACACGTGCACACACAAATGGACACACAAATGCACACGCATATGGACACACACAAATGTACATGCGCACACACACACATGTGCACACACACACAAATGGACATGCACACACATGCACACGGACACACACAAATGCATATGGACACAGACACAGATGCACATGCACACGGATACACACGTGCACACACAAATGGACACACAAATGCACACGCATATGGACACACACAAATGTACATGCGCACACACACACATGTGCACACACACACAAATGGACATGCACACACATGCACACGGACACACACAAATGCACATGGACATACACATAAATGCACACACAGACACACGTGCACACACACTCATAGCTAGAGCTCCCATCCCAGAACCCAATGTCCTGTCTTACCCATGTCTGTATATTGGAGACCCAGTTCAAAGTTGGCTCTTAATAAATGTTCCATCATTTATCCATTCAACAAATATCTACCGGGCACCAGCTAAGTGTAACGTTCTGTGTTCTGGTGGCAGGATACAGTGTGAAGCAGACAGGAGCCTGTGTCTGGGGGTGCCCACAAGTCCCCAGGGTGTGGTGGCTTTCCCCTCCTGTGACCCTGCTGTCTCAGCTGTAAAATGCTGGTATGCGGCTAGATGTCAGGGTGGTGGGGGCAGCCAGGTTTGCTCTCCCCTGAGGTCTGAGCACGGAGACCTGAAGAACCTGACGCCTAGGGATCTGTCCCTTGTTTCTGCCCTTGGTGGCTTTCCAGGTTCCGCCCAGTGGGGCCCCTGGGTCCCGCTGGATCTCAGGCTCTGTCCACCGGTCCTTGAGCTCAGCTTTTCCCAGCCCTTAGCTCCACAGAGGGAAATGGGAAGGAATCCCGGAGCTGGTTCACTTTGGCCTAGGGGAACGGGGAGACCAGGCAGATGGCTCTGACCCTGCTGTCCGACCTCCTCCCTACAAAGGCACCCCCCACCCCCACCCCAGGCCCGTGCTCGCAGGCAACACGGCCTTGACCAGGCACCCCCCAAGGCCCCTCTTCCTCGGGTCAAGTTTGAGGTTTATTCCGAGTCTGGGAAGAGGGCTCAAGGAAGGAGGGTTCGCGGGCAGAACCCCCTCTCCCCCACCGCGTCCGCGCTGCCCTCGGTGTGGGTGTCCAGAGCGCGCGGCCCCGCCCCGGCCCACCCCACCGGTCAGGCCGGCCGCTCTGGGCCGCGGGAGCTGGTCCCGGACCCCGCTCCCCGCGAGGTGGGCGGGGGCGGCCCCGGCGGGGGGCGGGCGCGGAGGCCCCGCGTGCATGCTGATGAGCTGGGCGGCCGCGTCACTCCGCACCGGCGCCGTGGCTGCGGGGCGGGCAGGAGCCGCACGGCCGCCGCCGGAGCGCCCGCCCGGCCCGCGCCTCCCTCCGCTCTCCCGCCCGCAGGCCCGCCCGCCGCCCCCCGGGACGGGGCCGCGCCCCTCTGCGGAGGATGCCGGCTGCCCCCCGCGCGCGCGGCCCCGGGCAGCCCCTGCGCGCGGGGACCCCGGGCGGCGGCGGCCGGGCGCGCTGAGCGGGCGCGGGTGGTGCTGAAGGGACAGCTCCCGGGCGCTGGCGGCCGAGCGCGCAGCCAGCCCGCAGCCCCCCGCCCGCCCGCAGCCCCCACTCCCTCCCGCAGCCCCGTCCCCACTCCCCGCCCGCAGCCCCGGGCCCCCCGCCCGCAGCCCCCACCCCCGCCCGCAGCCCCGTCCCCACTCCCCGCCCGCAGCCCCGGGCCCCCC